GTGGGGAGGCAGCGCCCAGGGAGACAGGAGGTTCAGCCGCAGCAGCCCTTCAGAACGGCCTCCCTGTGGGCGCAGTCAGCCTGGACTCAGTGGACCCTGCAGGAAGCCCTCCTTCCTGCCCCCCACCTGAGCTGGGATCCCTGTTCCCCCCAGAAGCTGCTCATCAGCAGCCTGGTTCTTCTGCCCCAAGACCCTCCCGTTCTTGAAGGAGACAACCCCATGCGACCCAGCCTGCACAAGGCCCCTCTGGAGCTACCCGGCCAGGCCCGGGCTCTGCCGGGCTCCCCTGAGGTTTCGGACCTTCTCACCTCCATCCACCACCTCGGGCTTGGACTCTATGGCCGCAGGGAGGCTGACCACAAGGTCGCCCACCTCTTCTGTTCAACGCCCTGCCCTACACTCACGGCCTCCAGGGCTCCCTCCTTAGATCCGCAGCTCAGCCTCGGCTCCAGAGTCCCCAGGGGCACCCGCCTTCTACCTACAAGCACCGATCCCACCACCCCCCGCCCCAGCTGGCCCCGACTCCAGCTGCTGCCACCAGAGTGAGGCCCACTGAGCTCCAGCTCTTGGTGTGCACCTGCCTACCATGGACGCGGTAGGCAACGCTGCATGCTCCAGCCTCACCTTCCTCTCCTCTCCTGCTGGGGAGGCCGGGAGGCTGGCTAGGTGGACAGTGAAGCCCACACCTGACAGCAGGGACCCAGGCTGGTGTGAGTGTGGTCTGTGAGTGGCTGCAGGCACATCAGCCGTCCGAATGTGGGCATCACCCAGAAGCTCCTGCCACACCCGTCCCCACACTCCCCTCTCCAGACGTCACTGTGGCCTCTCCAGAGCCACGGCCTGCCCAGCCCTCTCCCCCATGCCCACAGCCCTGCAGCCCCTCAGTGCCCTGCTTTGTCCCCTACGTGCTTCAGCTCCCAAACCCCAGAGGTAGGTGTCTCCAGACACCTAGAACTTTCCACATAATCACTGCCCAAAATCCTGCTCCTACTCACTAGTGGACAGCCACTCAGGCCTGACCACCCCTGAGAAAGCTGCCGTGGGCTGGAAACCTGGGTCCCCAAACACCAGATGCTGAAATCCTAGCCCCAAGTGCTGGTGTTGGGGGGCGGGGCCCACGGGAGACAGCAGGGTCTGGGCCTCACGGGTGAGACTGGTGCCCTTATTAAAGGGAACCTGCCTGTCCCCCACCATGAAGACACAGCCAGGACAACGTCACCTACGAAGGTGAACCTAAGGACCTGCCCTTGGTGCTGGACTTCCCACCTCCGGAGCTGTGAGAAAAACCCTGCAGCCCCGAAGTTGCTTGCTCATGGGGTTCTGCCCCAGCAGCAGAGTGACCAGGCCACCTTCCTCACGCCAGGCCAGCAGGCCCTCGGCTCGCTCAGGCCCTCTGCAGAATGCCATGCTCAAGCCTATGGTCTGACTCTCTCCACTCCAAATGCCCTCCAAGGAGGACCCTCTGCAGCACCCTGCACCCACTCCTGCACAGAGCCCTGCCCAGCCCGAGGAAGTCAGCACTGGCTGGGCAGCTGAGCGCATGCCTGACCCAGTGACCCGGGTGGCCAGTGCCAAGGAGACGCTGCACAGCGGGCTCGGAGCCAGGCCCCCTGTGTGCAGACCCCAGGCAGGCCGCCTCCCCTCCCGTCAGCGCGAGTCTTCCCTCTACCTTGGGCCTCCGTAATTTGAGAATATCTACCTATTAATTATTCTTTTGCTCAAGGGCACCTGCTGCTTGTCAGCTTCACACTGAGAAAATCCAACCAGTATGCCACAGAATTAAATTTTTAATTAAGATTAGTTTGTCTTCCCTGAGGAGGAAAATGCTCCGAGATCAGGCCCTGTTCAGGCCGCGCCTTCTCTGCACGGCAACACTCCGTTCTCCGTGTGCTCACGGCAAGGCCCGTGCACCCCTGGAAAGGCCTCGCCCATCAACCCTGGGGTGCGGGCACGGGGTCTCACTTGGTTCTCACGGCTGCAGGCACCTCACAGACGGTTGTGAGCATTATTTTAATTTGAAACACCAGTGGAAACTAACGTTGTTCATGGAAAAAAATAAGGAGGAGACTTGGCAGGTCCATGGGGCACTGTGGCCACCAGCCCCTGATGTCAACGGGAAGGAGGGATCAAGCACGTCTGGACTGGCAGGCTTCATGGGGAGCAGCAAGGTGCCCCGCAGGCGGCAGAACTGAGAGCGAGGCAGATCCTCAGGCCTGACCCCGCTGCTCCCGCCTCCCTGCCTCGGCAGGAAGAGAGGCACG